AGAAATTCTTACCATTGGTCTATCAAGAGACTTGGTGATGTCAACTTCAGGAGCAATCTTTGCCTCTGGGCCTTTGTTGTGCCAATAATAGCACATAAGTTGGAACATGAACAGAATGTCAAAGAATACAGAAATCTGTATTGCCAAAATACATCAACATTAACACTTTATAGTCATTCCGTATAAGTTACAGTGAGAGGACAATCCGTACCAAAGATAGCATTACTTTTCCTATATTTCCATAGAAGTTCATCCAAGAACCTAAGATTAGAAATTTTGTCATAATATATTATAAACTCAGAAAGGTTCATGCTTTATAACTAAAGGAGATGTCAATGGAAACCTTGATCTATTGACTGCATGAGCATTTGAGCATAGTTTCCAACGCTTCCAGAAAAATCAAGCAGAATGTTCCCAATGCTCCAGCCTTCTGTACTTTTTCTCAGGAAGTTCATGACAGCCTACATTCACGACTTATTAATCACAGGTGGAAATGGCCATGGCCAATACGTTATATGTCAATAGTAGTCCCCGGCTAAAAGAATGAGAACAACCTTCAAACAAATCAATGCGAAGTACAAAAAGGGTTCTAAAGCAGACTGTGTATTTGGATCAGGTTAGAAATGTGATTTTCAAACTTTGCTTGTGTTTTATAGCCAGTCCCAACTTGAATAAAGGATATAGGCTGCCTTAGGTCCTTGACAACCAACATAAAACTCCATAGAATCATCCATGACACAGATCAAAGATGATATTGTGCTAATGTTGGGTTGTTATCTGAAAGTAATGCACTGTATGGCTAAGTACAGCATCAAATGAGCTAGAGCTTCTACACCCAAATGTAATGTTAAATGAGCAAAAGCTCCCACATTTACGAGAACAGAAATGGGTAGAGAATTTAGTTCGGAAGAGCAAGATCAAATTTGGTATTTGGAATATTAGCACTTTTGACACATAAATCTATGCAGAAGTGGCCATGATTCAGAGAAGAATTATCATATTGCCTTCAAGAAACTAAATGGGTTTGAGAAAAGACTAAGGAGCTTTACTCTGCAAGATTTAAACTTGGTGCATAGGGAAAGTAAAAGCAAGGAAGGGGGTTGGTATTATGGTTGACAAGAATTGGAAGAAGAATGTGATGGAAGCAAAAAGGATTGAGGATGAGATCTCATCCTTAAGAATGATTTTGTACATGATACTATGAACATCATAAGTGGCTATGCACCTTAAGCAAGGACAAAAGGATATCTTAAGGAAAAGTTTTAAGAAGATGTGGAGGGGTTCGCTCAAGGCATCTGACAAGATGAAAAGATTTTCATCAATGGAGACATTGAGAGCCATGTCAAGAAGGATGCAAGACCTTATACAAGAGCTCATGGTGATTTTGGTTCTAAGGAACTTAACAAAGAAGGGTAATTCAATCTTGATTTTGAATTGGCATATGATTTAAGGATTGTCAACACTTTAAGAAGCAGGAGGAGCGTAGATCATATATATAAGAGTGGAGCCTCAAGGTTGCAGATTGATTTCTTTTTGGTATGAAATCTAAATAGAAGATTATGTAAGGACTGCCAAGTGATTCCAAGGGAAATCCTTATATTAAGAGTTAAGGTCTTGGTCCTTGATGTTCTTGATAAGATACGAAAACAGAAGTGTCAGCAAGTTATAAAGCCTAGTATCAAGTTCTGGCTGCTAAAAGCTGACAAACAACTAACTTTCAGAATAAAACGATTGGAACTTATCAAAAATATAAATAAATAAATAAAACTATTGGAGGAAGATGATTGAGAGTTGCAAGGAAGCATTAACATCATGTGGGATGAAACATCCATAAGAGTTAGGAAGGTTGCTAAAGCAATTTTAGGTGAATCAAAAGAAAAGGTTGGTATGGCATTTACTGAGGAGAAAATTGTAGAAAATCATTTTAGGTGGTTCAAACATTTGCAGAAAAGGCCGTTGGGGGCATCAATGAAGAGAGTTAAATAGATGGTCTTTAGTTGTATGAAAGGTGGTGGAGAAAGGCCAAGAATGACACTAAAAAGAAGTTATCAAATGGAATCTATCAGTGAACAATAATCTAAAGAATTTGTTGTCTATAAAGAACAATGGTATTGGGAGATCCATAAAGTTATCCTCACTAAATCGAATACGGGTTTTCATCATCAGAAATATGATTTTCAACATAAAGTTTGGTAAACATGTTCCTTGTAACACAACTTCCATAAAGAGAAGCTGAATACAAAATTGAATACAAAATCAAATAAATCCTGACCTGAGGTATATATTTTATTGTCGTCATACAAACTTGAATCACACTGCAAGATGGTTAACTTCAACACAGTTAATTAGGAGATCAATCCTAAATAAACATTCGTGCACATGGCATTCAATCATGTAATGTAATATCTGTGAAGTTAAGTGTAGAGAACCGATGTTATAGAAGGCAGCTCAAAATAGGAGAAAATTAGTTGAGAAAGCATAACATACTTCAATATTGAGAGAAGCCACAGCCAATGGTGTTCAGGCAAAGCTATGAAGAAGCAGATTGTGACAACTAACCAAGTTATGAACACAATTCCACAAGCTATTTTGGACAACTTCTGATTTCCACGCTACAATAACAGACTAGAATAAGAAATTTCAAAATAACCCAGAAAATTAAAAGAACAAAAATAAAATTGAAAGTACAAAAAGCTCAATCAAAAAGATTATGATACTTCATAGATTGCAATCTGGAACAAGGTAATTGCAGTGAGTAGAACAGCATGAGATGAGAAAGCAACATCATTTGCTGCTACAGGTATCATCTGAAACACAAATGGAATTTAATATGGTTTCTAAATATCAAAGCTATAAGCTTTGAAGAATTAGTATTTATGAGCTGATTATACAAAGAACCAACCTCATTTTGACCGTACTTATCTTTGTATTGCTTTTGAACAGTAGGGCTGAAGTATAGAGATGTATTGTATAACATATAGGATGAGTGCTTCGTGAGATTCAACAGCACAAAATCGAAGTTCAATCCCACAACACTGAAATCAAATAACCATTTCCAACACCCATACGAATGAGGCGAATTAAAATGATAAAAAGAAAGGAGTAAAAGCAAGAAAGCTTTATTTGTGAGATAATAAAAAACGAAGGAAGAAGTTGATATATTTTGTTGGAACCTTTTCCTACGATAATTCAAGTAAACTTGAGGGTAGAAACTGATAGACCAGCAAACAAAAGTCAACCAACCCAAAACTTCGTATGACACATGAAGTGGGACCGAATTCCAAGATGCCATTTTTGACGTGGAGGGCTTGCTCGGCTGAGGTAAATTTTTGTCCTAAAGAAGCCAAAAAAGTACAATAATTGCATCAATAGCTAAAAATAGTTAATGCCTTGAGGCAAATATTAAAACATTCCACAACTACACTTAAAGTGATTAACCTCCCTAATAAAGTCAAAGAGGACACTTCATAATAAGGGTTAATTGCATAAAAGGACATTTTTGGAAATACATCATAAATATTTCCCTAAATTTTGGAAAAGGACCATAAAAAGATGAGAAAATGACAATTAAGTATCCTATAAGGAAGTTAATATTAATCAAATCCTCCTAATTTCCCTAATTAAAAAGAAGATTTAAGGAATTTGGGAGTCATTTCGGGCGCATGCAAAATAACCAAAATACTATTTGTTCAAGTTTCACAGGAACAGCCCCCTTTGACCAAAATGTACAAGATAATTCTATATAGCAAAATGGCCTCCAAAATTAGGCACAGCACCAGAATACAGTAACAATACATATCCTCATTCCCCAGCGATATTGCCCAACATCTACATGAAGCACAATACAAACTAACGACACCCAAATTACACCAATTATAGAACCATACAGTACTCTAACAAGACCATAATTTTCTCCCTCCCTCCCTCTCTCTCTCTCTCTCTCTCTCTCTCTATATATATATATATATATATATTTCTAAACCAGTCCAAAATGAATAAAAAATGAAAGGGGAGTTCTTACCTCTAGTTACGGTAACTCTTTGTCCAATTAACAAGCAAATCAACTTCAGTTTGTTGCCCTAATTCCAGTCCTCAGTTCATCAGCTCATATTTGGTGTCATAATCACACGTCTCATTCATGTTCTTCAACTGTCTCTCTTCTGCTATCTTTTTGTTTAAAAATATCCCAAAACCCTTTCTTCTATTAGAAATCTGCAAATGCTCGCCAAATCGGATTAAGAAACTACTCGGCCAAGGTTAGTAGATGATGAAGGGCATTGATTTTCCGCAAAGCTCACCTAATAATAAGCAACAAAGCTTTGATTTTTAGTTCACATTCACGGCGGAGAAAGTCCACGCCATTGATGATCTTTCTTTACATGCGTACTCTTCCTGCTTTTCTGTTCTGACCTAGGAATGAAAATGAGGGAGAAAGATATTCCCCCTTTTTTGTTTGTCCATTAATGTAAATTGGCTTTCGATACAACAATTAATTGCTGTATTCTATTCTAGCCTTGGTACTTGCATCAGAATTCAGATCCGACCGACGGGCGACGGCACTGCCTAGAACCAGAAAACAAAAATTCATATTTCAAAATAAATATTTTTCTAATGTTTTTATATTTTTTTAAAGTTTTTTCCAAAAAAAAAAAAGTATAAGTACGTGGAATTATATTTATTTTCTACAAAAATATTAAAAGAAAAAATGACATTGAGGTCCCATGCAACACAAAATACTACAAAAAGATCCCAAGAAATTTGGTAATGATTCTGAAATCTCAAAGGGACTTGAGTGCAATTTGGTGAATTGTAAAAGACGCCTCTACCTCTGGTGAGATGCATCTAAACAAACTCAAAGATGCCCTGTTTTTCAATCTGAAAATCAGCACTCTATACGCAGAAAGCAAGAGAGAAAAAACCCAAATTTCATTCTGCTTCTTCCCCCACTTCCATCTGAAAATCTCATCCACTCTATTAATGTCAATCATTGGCAAAAATCGCTTGTATCTTTGGTTTAGTGTGTGTTTGGTCATTCAAGTTGGGGTTTTATTATAGGTGGGTAGAGTGATTATGGGTGTTCTATTTCTAGGTATATTATAGGTGGATATTGAAGGTGGTTTGCTCTGTCTAGGCATGGTTCAGGGGGAATTGATGAGAAAGATGAAGGTTGGTGTGATTAGAAACCCTCACTGCGAAATAGGAAAATATGTTGTCAATAGGGCCGCGACAGTTGTCAATATAGCTCCTTGACTTGTCAATAGTAACAGCATTGTACAGATTTACATTAACTGATTTTTAAAATTTTTTACACAAAGGCTATGACCTTCTGTACCCTTGACTCATTGGTAGAAGTCACAAAAAGAGGAAGAAGAGGCAACAAAGAAGGGTGAGTAGTTACATGAGGCAAAAAAAAAAAAAAAGCCACTTTGATCTTAGATAAATGATGGCAAAAGAATTTTTTAGTAAATAGAAGTGACATAAATTTTTTTTGTAGATGTCACAACACACACAAATAATTAGTTTAATACTAGATACATGCAACTATATGTTTTTTTAATGGGGTTATAAAATCGGTGTAATTACATGTATATGAAGTTGTAAATGAAAGTTAGTTGTGTATTACATTCTGATGCATAGTTAGTTGTCATTATCTGCACCCTTCCTTGTCAATATATGCTTCGTCACTTGTCACTCACTGCACCATCAGTTGTCAATTAATGTGCTGATATAAATTTAAAAAAATGATTTTTATTACATAATGTTATACAACGTCATACAATATCACTAATTCCTCAAAACTAATCCATTTTTTATAATACGATATAAATAGTTATTAAAAGTCAATCATCACTGATATGAAGTCATAAAATCACTTGTCATGAACAACATTTCACTTGTTAATGGTTTCAGTGTAACTTGGCATATTAGATTCTGCTGTCATTTCAGTTGTCATTATCCGCATCCTGTATTGTTATTAGATCTGTTATAACTTGTTAATGGAGCATTGTGACTTGTCAATTAATTTGCTGATGTAAGTTGTCAACAATATGAATTCAAATTACATAACCTGTTTTAGTATCATATGATATTTTCAATTACTCTGTCATATTATATTTTGGTTATATTGTCATATATAATTATTATTAATAAAGTGCCAATGGTGACACTATGACTTGTCAATAGAAGCACTATGACTTATTAATGGTGGGACTATGATTTATCAATGGTAACACACTGACTTGTCAATGGTAGCACTGTGACTTGTTGTTCACCGAATAACTTCTTGAAAGGTTTGGGCGCTGCGGCGGATATGATTAGGCGCCGCGGTACCTTACACAGAATGGCAACTCTTGGGATAGATGGGGGTGCCGCGACAGATATGATCAAACGCCGCAGCGGATTATCAGTTGTCAATGGTGGCACTATGACTTGTCAATGGTAGCACTGTGACTTGCCAATAGAGTATTGTGACTTGTTAATGAAGGCACTGTCTCTTATCAATTGAACATAAATTTGAGTAACACCTTCTTCTTAATAATTATATTTTAATGCAAATATCACTTAACATTATAAATAAATGACACCTTCAGTTGTAAAATTTTGAATATTAATTATTAATATCCACACATTCATTTGTTATGAAATGTTATATCACTTGTTATTAACTCATGTTATATTACTTGTTATTTTGGATAACTCAGGTTGTTAATTTCTAAGCTGGATGCTGTTGAGCTATACACAACTGAGAATTTCAAAAGAAATGAGTTATTTTCTTTTTCAGCAATTAATGATATAATTTCCTTCAATTCTTCATAACTTGTGCCTCCTTTATATTGTTGTTCTTACACTACCTCCCACATATCTCATATCATCTTCTCTATCATTTATAAACTTTCTCCCTATGTGAACAAAGAAAAATATATGCTTTCCAGATGTAGTTGTCATCAGTAATTTAAACCTGCATCAAGAATCACGCAACTGTCATTGACAAGTCAAAGAGCTACGTTGACAACTGTCGTGGCACACATTGACAACTATCGCGGCCTGATTGACAACACAATATCCTATTTCGTGCTAAGAGTTTCTACCCACACTAACCTTCATCTTTTTCTTCCTTTGCTAGTAAACTAACATTAGAACAGAGCAAAACCATTAACAAGTGAATATGTTGTTCATGACAAGTGATTTTATGACTTCATATCAGTGATGATTGACTTTTAATAACTATTCTATATCACATTATAAAAAATGGATTAGTTTTGAGGAATTAGTGATATTGTATGACGTTGTATAACATTATGTAATGAAAATCATATTTTTTTAAATTTATATCAGCACATTAATTGACAACTGATGGTGCAGTGAGTGACAAGTGATGAAGCATATATTGATAATGAAGGGTGCGGATAATGACAACTAACTATACATCAGAATATAATACACAGCTAACTTTCATTTACAACTTCATATACATGTAATTACACTGATTTTTTAACCCCATTAAAAAAAACATATAGTTGCATGTATCCAGTATTAAACTAATTATTTGTGTGTTGTGACATCTACAAAAAAAATTTATGTCACTTCTATTTACGAAAAAATTCTTTTGCCATCATTTGTCTAGGATCAAAGTGGCTTCTTTTTTTTTCTTTTGCCTCATGTAACTACTCACCCTTCTTTGTTGCCTCTTCTTCCTCTTTTTGTGACCTCTACTAATGAGTCAAGAGTACAGAAGGTCATGGCCTTTGTGTAAAAAATTTAAAAAATCAATTAATGTAAATCTGTACAATGCTGTTACTATTGACAAGTCAAGGAGCTATACTGACAACTGTCGCGACCCTATTGACAACATATTTTCCTATTTCGCAATAAGGGTTTCTAATCACACCAACCTTCATCTTTCTCATCAATTCCCCTTGAACCATGCCCAGACAAAGCAAGCCCACCTTCAATCCACCCACAATATACCCAGAAACAGAACACCCATAATCACCCTACCCACCTATAATAAAACCCCAACTTGAATGATCAAACACACATCAACCAAAAACACAAGCGATTTTTTGCCAATGATTGATATTAATAGAGTGATGAGATTTTCAGATGGGAATGGGAGAAGAAGCAGAATGAAATTTGGGTTTTTTCTCTCTTGCTTCCTGCGTATAGAGTGCTGATTTTCAGACTGAAAAACAGGATAGTTTTGAGTTAGTTTAGATGCATCTCACCAGGGGCAGAGGCGTCTTTTTACAATTCACCAAATTGCACTCAAGTCCCTTTTGGACTTCAAAATCATTACCAAATTTTCTGGGACCTTTTTATAGTATTTTGTATTGTATGGGACCTTAGTGTCATTTTCCCATATTAAAATCCCCTAACACCTCGTGAACCTGTGATGAAGCCACAGGGGATGGTACCTCGTATAGGCCCGAGGGTTATGGCCAATTGGCCATGAAAAAGCTGTGGGGAGACCGGATCCCCGATTCCGTGTGGATGGAACTGTGGGGTGGGTAAAAGGGGAAAAGGGCAAATCATAAAATTAAGGAAAAGCTAATCTTTTTCTTCAAATTTTAACTTAAATAATATTAAATGAATGAAATTAGTATATTGATAGATCATGAACAAATAAAGCCACTTGACCAACAAGCTGTTGGTTGAGATGGTAGCGGCTTCATCCCCGTAAAGAGGAGAACACAAATTCGAATTTCGAAAAACGTATTTGTTGGGAGAGCTATTCCTTAACCACTCCAGATTCGAAAGAGATTAGTCTTAAGTCTAATGTGACTTAAGGATACCTTTGTTTCATCTAAAAAAATAGAGCCACTTAAAAATTCTATATGAGATGAGGCATAAGACGGAACCACTATAGTTTCACAGGTTGCAAAAGAAAACTTCAAGCCCATATTCGTCATGAGCTGAATTTTAAGCTAGTCTATATTAATTTTTAATCTCTTCACAATTAATACTTTAATTCTTATCATATATAATTTATTTTGAGTCATCAAATAACTTTGTCTCTCAACCCAGAACTCAAAGGCTTGCCGTCAGAAGTAGGTGCTCCTTCTTCCTGTTCTTGCTGGTCCTCGCCGGAAAAAATGAATATTTGGATGCCAGAGATTTGTGCTCTTCCACCTGTTCTTCCT